GGGTCCGCGCCCCCCTCCCGTGCCCCCCCCCCGCCAGCCCCGCCTTTCACCTTCCGACCTGCCGGGCCCAGGGAGCACCTTTCCCTTTAAGCCCTTCCCTCTGCTGATTCTGGCTGACAATCTCCTGTCACGTCTCGATTGCCCTGTGCCAGAGCCCAGTGCTGAGCCCAGCTGTGCTGTGGGATGGCTGGTCTCAAAGATTTCAAACTCCAATGTCCTGGCAATTCACCGGGAAAAGAGTCCCAGCTGGAAGGAGAAGGCCCACAGGAGAACTCCCGCCGGCTCTGAATTCTCACGGGGACAGTCTGACCCTCTGCACCCCCGGCAGGGGCCTCGAGGAGAGATCCTGGCTGCTGTCCCCTGGTGCCCCACTCAGAGGATGGGTGACCTTATAAGCCAGTGGTTCTCAACCTTCTGCCCTTTAAATACAGTCCCTCATGTTGTGACCCAACCATAAAATTATTTTCGTTGCTACTTCATAACTGTAATGTTGCTCCTGTTATGAATCGTAATGTAAATATCTGATATGCAGGATGGTCTTAGGCGACCCCTGTGAAAGGGTCGTTCGACCACCAAAGGGGGTCGTGACCCACAGGCTGAGAACCACTGTTATAATTCTTTATCCAAGTGGGGACACTTCCGAGAGTGAGGGACACGGGCTTAATCATTACCCTGGAAAATAGGTGTAAACTGGGGCTGTCTTCTGCAAATGGCGGATAAATGGTGACTCTGCATAAAGGAGAGAACCAGGCCTTACCTCTCGGTGTCTCAGCTGGAAGCTCTTGCCCTCATGGTAGCAGTTGTAGGTTTTCAGCAGGTTTAAGAGCTCCGACCTGAGAAGGGAAGGACACGTGCATCCTGAATGGGCAGACCTCAGACAAGGTGTTTGTCCTCCTGGGCCTCAGTTTCCTCATCTGTAGAATGGGCATAACAGCACACATCTTTCTGGCCACGCATAATTGGTTAAGAGGGCAGGTGGCTGGTGGGACAGGTGGGACCAGTCTTCTTGAGGGTTTCACATACCAGCCCTCATGGCAGGCGTAGGGGTGGGACTTAGAGGGAAGTGAAAACTCACAGATGGACCCCACCACTGTATAGTGAGGTTGTTTGCACACGTTCACTATCGTGGACAAAAGTTCCTGACGGCCTCCCTGTACTTTACGTCTGCGTCACTTCCTCAAGTAAATCCCTGGGGCTCAGACTATTGACATTTTGAAGACTCCAGCTTCCTCCCCACATTACTTCCTACCAGGGCCCGGCATGGCTGCTGTGTGGGCACCAGGAGGGCGACCTGCCTCTTTCCCATCCTGCCCTCCTGGAGGCATGACCGAGGGATGAAGGTGACAGCAGTGAGTAAGACCCCGAAGGCCCAGGGAGGCCACTGGGCCCACATGTTTTCTCCCCAGAATAAAAGGGAAACCACACTGTGCTGGGCTGGCGTGGCAGAGAGAGGCAATGACAGCTGCCTGTGCCCGAGCTGGGCTCTGCAGGGCAGCACCCTCCAACAGATACAACATGTGAGTCACCTTTAGGCGAGTCAAATCTGCAGTAGCCACAATACCAGAGAAAAATGAAACAGGTGAAATTAGTTGTAAACACACTGCGGACCAGGTTTACTGCTAACTTTAGCCAGTGGCCAGAGAAGTTTCTATGGAATAATGTGTTAATAACACCCTTTATTGAACCCAGTATATCTAAAGTGTTATCATGTCAGCATGTAACCTATATAAAAATATTAATGAAATCGTGCTCATTATTTTATTTTGTAAGAAGTGTTTTCCACCTAGAGCATCTTTTACATTAACTTTGCCCCTCCAGCCACAGGGCCGTACTAGGTGGCCACAGGGCCGTGCTGGGTGGTCACAGGGCCGTGCTGGGTGGCCACAGGGCCGTGCTGGGCGGCCACAGGGCCGTGCTGGGTGGCCACAGGGCCATGCCGGGTGGCCACAGGGCCGTGCCTGGCGGCCACAGGGCCATGCCAGGCGGCCACAGGGCCATGCTGGGTGGCCACACTTGCTGGCGGCTCCCTCCTGGACCGGCTGCCCTTTATCTCCTTCAGGCAGTGCCAGCAGTGGCACTGCAACAACCCGAGCTGTGGGTGAGCAGCACCCACTCTGCAACACCCACTCTGTGGGGGTGGCGGTAACTGACGGGAAGTGATTTACAGCTTCATGGCATCAACGAAGCAGCATTCGATGTTGCATGCTCACTGGGCTTATAAGTGTGTAAACGCTAAACACAAAATTATTAGGATAGATACCCCCTCACACACATATATGAAATTAATCATGTTATGGCAATTATGACTTTTCCCAAAATGATATCTAATATTGTTCTTATTATAAAATGTAAATAAGGAAATGATGGTATGGGTAGCACTGGGAGTGATACAAGGGAATGCCGTCTGTTCTCAGGGTCTCTAGCAGGAGGACCCAGAGCCGTCTCTACAAAAGCTAGCCCACCCTGTGGATGGCAGGTAGGAGCTGCCCAAAGTAGACAATGTTTAGACTCAGAACTTAAAGAGCAAGATAAAATCACAACTATACTTTCCTTTAGTTCAGAAATAAATTTTAAAAAGTATCCTAAACATGTAAAAAGTATCCTAACATAAACGTTTAAAGAGTATCCTAAAATAAACATTTAAAGAGTATCCTAAAATAAAAATAAGCAAAGCTAAAAATCATCTACGATGTATATATATAAAAGGCTAATACAGAAAGTGACCCCTTGGGAGTTCAACAGGAAGACTGGAAGTTTGATCACTTGCTATGATGTGCACTGGCCACCAGGAGGCAGCATGGAATGAAGGAAGGCCCTGGCCAGCAGCCAGAAGGCCCCGATTGGTCCTGATCACTGGCCAGGCCTAGGCACCAGGCCTCTAGTTATGTCAATAAAATACATTTTTTTCAGTAAAAACTCAAAACCAATTTTGAGGGTTTTTTCCTTAACTGTTTAACACAACAATAAGAATGTTAGTATTGCTCTAGTTATTTTTGTTCCTTTGTTTTTCAGCATTGCTCTAGCTTTTATTTTATTTTTAATATATTTTATTGATTTTTTACAGAGAGGAAGGGAGAGGAATAGAGAGTTAGAATCATCGATGAGAGAGAAACAACGATCAGCTGCCTCCTGCACACCCTCTACTGGGGATGTGCCCGCAACCAAGATACATGCCCTTGACTGGAATTGAACCTGGGACCCTTTAGTCCGCAGGCCGACACTCTATCCACTGAGCCAAACCGGTCAGGGCTGCTCTAGCTTTTAAATAAATACCATTTCTGCAGAGTCACAGTGGGCACTCTGGGGCTTTCCTGCTTTTGTGGGCCAGAGGGGGAAAATGTCAAACCCACACCCTGAAGAGATCCTCCATCTCCAAAGACAACCAAGACCATGACAGGCCCCCATCACTGTCCCTGGGACAGGCACACCTCCCATCTAGGAGCCCTTCCACCCAAAGGCTGCCCATGGAGGAGACCTCAGGCATGCACCCCTCCCCGCACACACAGGCTTACTTCAGAATGGATTTGCTGTCGCTGATGGGCACGTGAGAACTGGGTTCACAATCTTCCTTCATCTTCTCCTCCTGTCTGCAGACCCGGAAGCTACCTGCCAACAAGACCAGGAAAGGGCACACACACAGGTGAGTGGGAAGAGCTGGCCAGTGCGGCACCCAGAGCTGGTTGCCTGGCCTCACCTCCCACCTCCATCCTCCCAATCCTACATCCCCAGAACTCTCCTCCCTTCCACTCCCTGGCACAGGATGGCCAGCAGGTCAGGCCCAGAGGACTTAAGGGGGTTCCACACCTACACGTGTCAGCCAAGCGCCCCCTAGTGGGCCAAGCTCAGAACTGCCGAGTCAGCAGGTGCCAGCTCTCTCAGCCCCCCCTCCCGGAACCTCTCCACAATCCCTAGGAGTCAGGATAGATCTCCTAAATGTTTCGGGACAGGTGCTTCCTTCCCTCCCTGGACACCCTGAATAATGCTTCTGTCCCGATTACTCCTCCAAGCTTCCCAAGTAGCCTGGGCCTGTCTCTTCCGTTCCCGCTGAGCCCAGGGCGGGACTGGGCTGCCCCTGGAGTCCGCGCCCCGGCCAGCTCGGCCAACAGGTACCATGCTCACTACTTGCCACAGACTGCGGTGAGCATTTTCTATGAATTGCAGCCGTTTTGTCACCTCGTTGCTGAGATGCTGCGGGAACTTAACTCCCGCATGTCATTCAGCCTATTGTAAAACCGGTTTCTTTAGCTGTCATTTCACTTAAAGTCACAGAACCTATTGCCAGCATTGGGAGGGCTTACTGTAATTCATTTACTCCTCACAACATTATGAGGTAAATGTTCCCATTTACCCCAGAAAACGGGGTCAGAAGGCAAGCACTTTGCCCGATTCCCAGCGAAGAAGCAGCAAGGCCACTGTGAACACAGCACTTAGCGCCCAGATTCTGTCCTTCGACCCTTCCTGCGTTGACCTTGAACAGTGACTCACACCCCAGAGGAAAGACTGAAGAAGGGACTATATAAGCTGCTAAAACGGTTCACATTAGGCAGCTGAGGCACAGGAAAGACTCCATCCCCTTTCTACCTCGCCTGGGAACTGAAACTTCTTGAACTATCCAGTCTTGCATCAGTGCCTGGATATACATCTGGGCCTCAGGATGAGCCTCTAATTACCCCCTGAGGACTCGGATCCACCCACCTGAGAGCTGTTATCCAGACCCCTGGCCGTGCGGTAACCAGATCTCCCTGCACCCTGTTCCCGATCACCTGACATACCTCTGACCAGGTGACCCTCCTGGAGCGATCCCGGGGCAAGAACGCAGGGCTGATAATGGCCAAGAATGCACTTTTTCTACAAGAACTTTTAACTTTTCTTCCTTCTTTGAAACACTCCTGGGTTTTGCCTCGCTGTGTTTCCAGTTTGCAAACTCCAAGACCCTGGAATGAATCTATCCTTTTGTCTAGCACAGCCTCCAGACTCTGGGAGTGTGTTTGGCACCTCTGACCATCCTTTCTCATCTGCACAGTGGGGTAACCCGCCCTCCAGGGGATAGCGGGTTCACACAGGAAACTACCTACACCTCTCCCCACTCAGCCTGGAGGGGTCTGTGGAGCTTCTCGCAGTCCTGTCCTCTGTGGGAGGGTCACCCCACTGGGGCGTTCTCTGTTGAATTGGCATCTCCCACATGGTTCCTACTTCAACTCTCTCCACGCCACCCTGGGGCAGACTCTCCTATCAAGGGCCTCTGTGTGTTAAGCAGTGAGCCACACCTCAAAATACACTCCCACCCTTGGCCCTGCCTCCTCCTCCCTTTTCTCACGTTGCAGCCAGGAGTCCAAAGGGTTAAGTTATCCTGGGAGGTGGCACAGGCGCCTCTGCTATTCAGTTAATCCTGGGAGTGGAGTGCTCTGTCCCTTGGGCACGACTGACCTTTCGCGCACTCCCTCCCTGCTCGCTGGACACCACTCACAGCTGGCGGGGCCTCTGTGTTGGCAGGAGCGCTTGATTTGGAGGGGGGGGGCAGGGAACATGGTAGGTATGGAGAAAGGGAAATATCTGAAGGAGGGAGGTGGGCCTCCCAGCGACCCCAGAATCGTCCTATAAATACCTCCTCTGCCTGTGCAGGGAGGCAGTCTCAGCTGGGAGAGGTCCGGCTCCCGAGGGCAGCCCCTGCTGTAACCAGCACAGGCCCTACCCGTGGGCACAGGGCTGCCTGCTGCACTCTAGGCCCATTTCCAAAGAGGGTTTCAGTTCCTCAGCCCCTCAGCTCTCCCGCCAGGCTCCACCTCAGGGTCCTTCCTCAAATCCTGCCCGCACAGAAGCTGGCGCAGCTGAGCGGGTCAGGCTGGTGGCTGGCTCTCCTCACACTGTCCTGTGGCTCACGGCACAGGGATGCCTTGCAGCCACATTACCGGAAGGGCGGTGTTTACCCAGAGCTAACAGGGCGGCTCTTCTCCCGCCTTCCTCTTTCCCGCTCTCTCCCACTCTCCCGCTCCCTGCTGAGCTCCAGCCTCCGGAGCTGCCCACAGCCCCCTGAAGGGCTCGGTGCCCTTTCCTCCATTTGGGCTTTTGCGGTGCTGTCCTCTACTCAGAGCATGGCCTTCTCCCCGTTCTGTACCCCGATGCTAGCTCCCCTGGGCCTGCTCCTACTCCAGGCTCCTGCTCTGCTCCCCTGCAGGAGCCCCCCTGCACACCTCCCCTCGCAAGAGGAGGACGCACTGCCTCAGGGACTCTGGTGCTGCCTCACCACCTGTTTCCCCACAGGGAACACCAGCCTGGCGCATTGCAGGAGGTTCCAGAGGTGGTAAATGACCACAAGAAGCCACATGGGGACGCAAAGCCAACTGCCCCAGAGCCGTGCATACGCAGCTGGAATGAAACCCATGGAAGTCCTAGTCAGGGAGGGGACTCAGCAGACACTGGGCCCACAGGGAGTTGGGACGCCTTCCTTCTCTAGAGGGGCAGCTCTTCTGGTGTTTCATGGGACGCCAGAAAGCTGGATTTTAAAAAAATCCTCACCTGGGTATATATTTATTGATTTTTGAGAGAGAAAGGGAGGGAAGGAGGGAGGAGGGAGAGAAGGAGGGAGGGAGGGGTAGAGAGAGAGACTGATAAGAGAGAAACATCAATCGCTTGCCTCCTGTACATGCCCTGACCAGGGATGGAACCCACAACCTAGGTATGTGCCCTGACTGGGATTTAACAGCAACCTTTTGGTGTATGGGACGGCGCTCCAGCCAACTGAGCCACCAGCCAGGGCAGAGATCCGGACTTTTATTGGCTGCATCTCCCTGTTTAAACACGGCGGCTGGGAAGACAGTGCCTTCCCTGCGGCCACGTGATGGCTCCTATCTCAGCTGTGGGTCCAGGTGACTAACTCTGCAGGCAGAAGTGTGTGTGTCACTCCCAGGCCAGCTCACGTGACCACTGCAGCCTTGCAGCTCTCCTGTCCCAACTGGTGCATCTCCCTGAAGGGTAGCCTGGGTCCGTGAGTGCCTCTGTGGACCAGAGTCCTCTGCAGCCCACAGTGGACACGGGCCAGCAAAGAGAACCCACCTCTGCTGTGAGAGCCCTGGAACGCTAAGGATCTGTGGGTGCCGTGTGACGCGGACCAGCCTGACTGTACCAGCCTGTGCAGTACCTATTCCCACGGGCGAGTGCACACCAAGGCAACAATAAAACAGCCAACAAAACACGCTGCCAGACAGGCCCTTGGTGGGGCCCCAGCCTGTGACTTCTGATTCAGGGTACGATGCTTTCCTTTCCCACAGCATGTGGGGAATACGCCCATTTTATGGGAATACTCTATGCAGCAGGAACACTTACACGTGGGTTTCTCTGTAAGGCAAGCAGCGACCAGCTATTAGCAGATGTTTTCTACCGAGCGCCGGGCTGGGAGCTGCTAAAGACCCAGGTGCCTGCAGCTGCATGTCCTTTTCTCTGAGCCTTTATTTTCCCATCTGTACAATGGAAACACTGACCTTTGATGGGTAGAAATGATCACAATTGAAGAACTCTGTCTAAATCAGTGGTTTTCAACCTTGGCTGCACATTAGAATCACCTGGGAATCTTTTTAAAATCCTGATTTCTGGGCCTCATCCTCCAGAAATTCTGTTTCTTTTTACTAATGTTGTGGCCCCACCCCATAACAAAGAAACAGAATTTCTGGAGGATGAGGCCCAGAAATCAGGATTTTAAAAAGATTCCCAGGTGATTCTAACATGCAGCCAAGGTTGAGAACCACTGGTCTAATGGAACATGTAGACCAAATCAGGTGAAGGGGCTGCTGTTATTGACAGCGAGGTGGGTGGCGGGGAGCCCCGTCCAGGGGCATGCCCTGTGCAGGCCTGTGGCTGGCCTGTCACTCAGGCACAGCCTAGAAACCACAGAGTGACAGATGCAGCTGGGAAGGCCACCCCAGCTCTGGAGTCTAGTCTTCTTTGTCAGGTCTTCCCACACTGGCCTTCAGGGGTGTTTCACGCCCGAGAGCCTAATTCAAAGGATGTGCCTAAGGTGCTGAGGGTCCGGGTGGAGGCGGGAGCATCAGCGGGGGAGCTTCGAGGGGAGGGAGTCCGAAGGAGGGAGAAGGCGGGTCCTGGATTGCAGTGGCGAAGTGAAGGGGAAAAGGGGCAAAGGGCACACCACTGAGCTTGGCGGGACAGGATGAGGTGCCATCTCAGGTGAGGGCGGGAGGCGAGCGAGGCTGGGGAGGCAATGAAGGGCCAACACCAGCAAAGGGGGCTCTTCCAACGGCCCGGCTGGGCCTCCAGCCCTCGGGGGAGGCACCGTGCCCCACGAAGAAGTGGCCTCTCCTCTGAGAGAACACCCATTTCCGTGTCCCCTGGCGCTCACCCACTGTGTGGCCCCAAGCAAATCACATGGTCTCTCTGGTTCCACCTGTCCCAACCCTCCACCCCCAGCAGGCCACATCCCTGCTCCAAGCTCCAGCCCTGAGCTCTGGGGCCACTCCCAAGTTCCACTTCGAATTGTGCACTGTGCGTTTGTGTGCTCACCAGGCTGAAGGGTGGGAGCGTTTCATTCACTGTAATGATCCCAGTGTGCTGAGTGGTACGTATACCTCAGGGGTGTCCCAGAGATCCCTGAATGCGAGCTTCAGGGAGAGAGAGCGAACACGCACCCCAGCAAGAAAGCGAATGGGATTTTCCTCCCTCTGGACAGGTTCTGGAAACTGCCCCTTGAACTCTCCCTCTCCTGGGGCATTTGGCCGGCCCTAGAGAATCTCTAGGGAGTGTTGTCCAATCTTTTATATAAAAAAAGCACAATTGTATCTTTAAATAAAACCAAGGCAGAAGCCCAGTACACAAATGGATCAAGCATGTCAAACTCGCAGATGGTGGGCCGCATGCTTTGACCCCCGGCCACCAGTTTGACGTGCTTGAATGGACTAAGTGCCTTGGTTGAAGCAGGACTGGGGCAGTGCAGTGGGGCTGGCCTGCCTCTCCCTTGGGCACAGCCTGGAAACTGCGGAGTGACAGATGCAGCTGGAAAGGCCAACCCCCAGCTCTGGAGCCCAGCCTTCTTTGTCCCTGTCTGCTCCCCTCCCCCAGCCCCAGGGCATGGAGGCCTCAGGGCTGGCTTCCCGGTTAGAGGCTCCCATCTTCAACCAAAGGCCCAGCTTCAGCCAGGGTTCTCTGTCCCCCAGGAGGGGTGGGAGTGTGCCACTGGGTCACCTGCCCCGGGCACAGGCAGGGAATTGTTTCAGCTTTCCATGTCAGGGGCTGCTGGTGGCAGCCGGCAGCCTTTCCAACTGCTAGGCTTGGCCCTTCTTTCCTCTTTGGGGGCCGTGAGCTCTGGGGCTCTGCAGGTCCCACTACAGCCCAGTGGCCGAGGAGCAAAAGAAGGCGAATGCAGGGGCGATATCATAAAGCCAAACGAATGCACTTGGAGGCCTTTTACTCCAGGCTGCGAGCTGCCTGCTCCTCGGTCTTACAATGCCCCCTCTCGTAAAATAACGGCACAAAAGCTGGTCACTGCGGTCCTTACCTGGCAAAACGGAAAATGTGTCAGTATCCACATTAAACTGTCTCAAGAACGTCTGGGCAGTCTGAAAGCTTGGTAGCCTCTGTTCTAACATCTAAAACATTACGATTCTTCTCTTCTTATTTAGGCCTGGTTAAAATCAAATACGCAACAGAAGTGACAGGGAACAGGAAGGACAGAGCACGTGGGGCCCGGGCTGCTCTCACGAGGAGGGAAGGAGGCTCCGAGGGGGGCAGGTGCGGGGACACTGCTGGGCATTCCCGGGAGCCACATCCGGGCCACAGCTTCCAGCTGCCAGGCAGGACCAGCAGGAAGGCATGGAAAACAATGCCCTGAAAACGGGCCTCCCTGGCACCTGCTGGCCGGCAAGTGGTAGGAACTAGGCCCGGAAGGTGCTGGCAGCAGCCGCCTGCAGGGGGCCTGGCTGATGGAGGCTGCTCCTCAGAGACACACTTTGGCCGAGAAAGCCAGCTGCTGGGATGTGGACGGCAGGCAACGGCTCAGCAGCTGCAGATCCCACCCTTCCAAGCTGCTCTTCTCGGCCCTCCCCCCAGGGCTACCCCTCCCCCTCCCTGTGGCTCAGCCACAGATCTCCCTGCCCCAGTGCTGATGGCTAGGAAGGCCTGGGAAGACACTGCCCAGCAGGAGAGGTGGCCGCAGAGCCACCAGCACCTCCATCCCCACCTTCCCCGGGCTGACCTTTACTCTACACCCTCCCCACTGTGCGGTTCGGGGTCCCACTGACAGGTCTCCCTGAGCCCATTCTGGCCTTGCTTCCCAGGCACGGCAGGCTGGGCCACACAGCTGCCTACAGTCCTCCTGCTCTTCCTCCCGTCTGCACCCCCGGCCCCCGGGACCCTCCCCCAACCTGGGCTCTCCTTTCCTACGAAGGGGGACAGGGGAGCAGGAATCCTCTCAGCTGTGCTTTTTGGGCCAAAGAGATGCTCAGAAGGACCACTGAGGCCTGGAGCAGGAGTGTGGCCTCTTTGCAGGCTCAGTGCCCACTGTGCCAGGCTGTACTGGGTGCTCTCCACAGCTGCCTCGGCCCATGCCACCCACTGTGCCAGGCCTGAGGGCCATTGCAGCTCCGGACTGGCTCCCTGTGAGGCATGTTGTGCTTTAAAACTTCTGGGTCACGGAACCCTTTGGAGTCTGGAGAGTTAAGCACACGATCCCCAGGAAGATGTGTGTGCGCATTTGTGTGTGCGCACGCGCCTGTGCACACACTGAATTTGCACACCACTGCAGGAGGTCAAGGAGCTCCTCAGATCCCGGTTAAGAACTTCTGCTGAAAGGTGTCGCAGCAAAAGACAGGCAGCAGGGGTGTCATGGAGAGGAGTCTGGATGGGAGTTTTGCTGGAGAATCAGCTTAGTGGGTGACTTCAGCATGTTGTGCCATCTCTTGGGCCTTGGGTTAGCTGGGATTGTCCTGGCAGCTGGTCTAGAGTGTCCTCAAGGCTCTTTCCACTTCGGGGGCCACAGGCCTCATGACACTCCACCCACCCGCAAGGTCAGGCAGGGCAAAGAGAGGGGGCTGTCCACCTCCCCCTCAGCAGTACCTCCGGGAAGGAGATCAGATGGTTAGGAGACTGAGCAATCTGCAAGTTCCCCTTTAACAAGAGTGAGAACACTGCAGAGGCTTTGGGAAGCGCAGCCACTTCCTATTTGACTTTATTTTACTTTAAAGCAATTTCAAAGTATTTTCTTCAGAGCACCGTGCGCCGGGATAACCCCCAGCCTTCCCGAGGACCTGGGTTTCAAGCTCTGCTCCGTGGTTCTTGAGCTGCATGACCTCAGGCGAGTCCCTTCCCTCCTCAGCCCTAGGTTCCTCATCAGTTGAATCACTGGCTGTGAAGGAGCTCACATGTGATCAACAGAAGCTCCCGTTACAGGTCATAAGGGCCAGGGCCTCTGGAGAGACCGCGAGGTTCTGGAGATGAGAATGTGGGACCGGGAGAGGATGGCAGTCCTCCTGGGAGGAGCGGCTGGGAGTGAGGACACATGACCAAGTTTACTCTCAAAACCTGCCCTGGCCCCCAGAGGTACACTCAGAGGGCTTTCTGGTCGACCCCATAGCCAGGGTCTCCCCTGTGGGGCTTTGCCTGTACAGCATCTGAACTGCGATGGCGCTGCTCCATTCATGTTCTTTGTTATGAGTCGTCGTCTAGCTGCCCTGACCCAGGAGGACCCTGGCCCTTCACTGTTCTTGACCTCTAGGTTACCAGCTGGGTCTCAGGGTGGAACTACAACCCCCCCTCCCACCTTTCACACTGACACTGTAGTCTGTGGCCTCCCCCTCATTTTCATTGTCAAGTCGAACCAGCAGCACTACACACGGAGAGAACCACAACGAGAACAAATGAAAACAGACGTAAACACTGACAAAGTGCTGAAACACACCCATTACTACTCCCAGCAGGCAGTATTTTGACCTCAGTTTAACATGTTCCCTTTTCTCGTCTCTCCCTTTCCCTTCTTTCATTCCCCTTCCTCTTCTCTCTAGCCCCCTCCTTCCTCCCTCCTTCTCCCTAGTATCTGCCATCCTCTTGCCAGCAGCGGCTCAGGAATGACATAGGGGAGTAGGAGGCACGCAGACCTCCATGTACCTGTTAGTTCTACCAATTCATTTACCTTTCTTTCTTTCTTACTTTCTTTTTTTTTTTTTTAAACCAGGGCTCTGGCAGCACATCTTGATTGTGCTGTGCACAGTGAAACTATAAAGTAATCAGTGAGGGTCTCTTCTGCAAGCACAAGTGCCTGGCTGTGTAGTCTAACCTGCTTGGATTCAAAGGAGAGAACTGCAGCTTTGTTTGCTGTGACCTGATTTAACTCTTTTGTGAAGCTCTCCTTACAGTGTTTTCAGATCGCACTGGCCCTGCCCGGTATTCATGCCCAGTGGGACAGGTCACCTGGGCTGTGCAGAGTGAAAACACGGAGGCATCTCACAGGCGGAAGCATAGGAACGAGAGTCGGGAGCAGGGGGAGAGCAGACTGAGCGCTGACATTAGTGGGCGAAAGGAATGGGACCTGGCACAGTAAAGCCTGGGTTCGAATCCTGACTCCACTACCGCTCATCTGGGTAAGACTGGATAATTCCACAAGTCTTTGAACATCAGTTTTCTCATCTGGAAATGGGTTTAATGAAAGTGCTGGGGCTGTAAGAAGCAGAGGGCATACTATGCTACACCCCTTACTGAGCATAGCTCAGGGAACAAGGCACATCTTCTATCAATAGCGATTGTGGGGCAAGTCCCTGCTTCTGCTATTATCTTGGCGACGGATGGGTTTCCATGTGTGAAACCAGAGGCTTGTGCCAGAGGCGCCTGGAGCCTCTCCCCCAGCTCTAAGATCAATGCGTCTAGGAAACTGGCTAAGGAGAGCGCAGGGCGGCAGGTGTAGCTGCGGTTGCGTCACCTGTCGTGCTCAGACTTTAGCCCCTACAGTGCCCTCCCCGTGGAGGATGCGCCTGGCGCAATGCCCACTCCCAACTCTGCTCTGGGCCACGGGCTCTGGAGGAGCCAGGCTGGCAGAGGGAGGGGACCCTGCTTGCGGCAGCCGCGGGCATCAGTGCCCAGGCGCCGGCGCTCAGGGCTGGGGGCAGCCTCGGGGGCGGGGGGTGTCAGTGCGAGCCGGACGCCCCGAACTCTCCTGCCCACGTGTCACTCACCTTCCTCCCGCGGCGCAGACCGG